ATCTTTTTTTGTAATTCTGTCTCTCACTGTTCAAATAAACCTACCATTAAAATTATAGACTGATCATTTCTATGTCAGTGGGCAAATGTATAAAATCAGCAGGGGATCAAATACTTTTTCCCTCACTGTACATGTGACATGACAGGGTGACACCTGCTGGCCTGGGAAGGGATTAACGGGTAATGCCACAGAGGTAACAACCAATCAGGGAAGGAGGTGTATCTGGGGCAAAGGTGACAGGTGGGGCTAGCCGAGATACTTCGGGAACCTGCTCGAAGGATCCACGAGAGGGCGTGGCCGGAGGCGGGGCCAAGCCACGCCTGGGGGGATATAAGGGGGAGCGGACCCGCAGCTCGGGGCTCGTGTGTGGGGTCCTGGGTCCTGGCGTGTCGCAGTTCACCGACATCTCTCTCCATCGTCCGGCCACGTGGAAGATCTCCTGCGTGGGTTCCGTCGTCGTCACGCTGCCAGACAGTGGCGGCGACGAGTGAGGGTGAGGGGACCACACCGAGTGATCAGTTGTGCGTGTAGCCGGTAGAGTTGTTATTGCCTAGAGTATATTCAGTGGGAGCAAGAACCATTGTTAGCCTGGGTTGTGACCAGTGCGAGTAATAAAGAAGCACCCCCTGTACGGCATGTCATGGAAGTCGCTCTTTACACATGTGAGGGGGCAACTAATAAGAGTCCGTAATAGAGTTATATATTTTTTAAGACTGAAACAGGATTTCTCCACAACTAAGGCTGGTTGTAATTACCGGAAACACGTTGTACTCGAATTGTAAATGTTGTGGGTTTACTCTCCAACACTACTAATGAATTGGCATGTTTTATTTACGTGACAAACATTATTATTTGGCTGTGGCGGGTGGTGGCGGGTTTAACGACACATTTATATTTACGCGATCTAAGACCAACAAACCTCTATTATGAATAATATTGGTCACGAAAGCCTTCTTGCTCTACCACCTTCTTCTGGCAAGTCAGGAAAATATCACACTCTCTGAATTGCTGGGACACAGTTTGCACCCTTCTTGTTAGTATGTCATCACCAATTACCACATGGGGAAGCAGTGGGGATGATCTCTACATCTTTTTTTTTATATCCTCCTGTCCACTGTACAGAGCATAGAAATTATTTTCTTACCGTCCTTTTTAGCTCTATGCAAAATTACCTTCATTGCAATTTTATTTAAAAAAATATCTTAAATGTCTCTGCTTTTTCCCGAAAAGTAGAGGGAGAGTGGCAGACAATGTATCATCATTGTGCACTGAGCACACTGCTCCTCGAGCACGCTGCATCTCGAGCACGCTGCTCCTCGAGCACGCTGCACCTCGAGCACGCTGCACCTCGAGCACACTGCTCCTCGAGCACGCTGCACCTCGAGCACGCTGCTCCTCGAGCACGCTGCTCCTCGAGCACGCTGCACCTCGAGCACGCTGCATCTCGAGCACGCTGCACCTCGAGCACGCTGCTCCTCGAGCACGCTGCACCTCGAGCACGCTGCATCTCGAGCACGCTGCACCTCGAGCACGCTGCTCCTCGAGCACGCTGCTCCTCGAGCACGCTGCACCTCGAGCACGCTGCATCTCGAGCACGCTGCACCTCGAGCACGCTGCTCCTCGAGCACGCTGCACCTCGAGCACGCTGCTCCTCGAGCACGCTGCTCCTCGAGCACGCTGCATCTCGAGCACGCTGCACCTCGAGCACGCTGCACCTCGAGCACGCTGCATCTCGAGCACGTGCGTCATGCTTTGCTGTGCAAATGCTAAAAAAATAAATGAAATCCAATGCAATAATATGTTTTTGGGTTAGATCACGTAAATATATAAATGTGTCATTAAAAACCCGCCACCACTCGACACAGCCAACTAGTAAGGGTTGTCACGTAAACAGAACGTGGCAAATTCGTAACTAAGTACAGCATACCGGTGTGTTGGAGAGCCAAGCCGCAACATTTACAATCTGAGTACGACGTTTCGCCAGTAATTACAACTAGCTTCATCAGGCAAAAGCCAGATTGTGAAGTCTTACTGTTCCATTCCTTATATAGAGGCGTGGATGTGTTGACCACGCTTCTGCACTCTTGCACAATGTGGGGGGAATTACTGAGGCAACGTACATTATTCATGTGCATTATGCGAGTCTTTTGAACTTGTGCTTCCTGTCTATTGTGTTGATTAAAATAGCCGTACCAACGGTAATCCCTATTGAAGTAGGCTGCCTTTGTAGGCATGCATTTAAATTATGTATTATTTGATTATTCGCTTCCATGCAGCACTAAGGCAGTAGCTACCCGAACGGTTAAAGTTATTTAGATTTCTTTCAATTTCGATAGATTATCTAATTAGTCTTGGCCAGTAGTAGCTAGTTTTGCACAAAACTTCAACATTATAAAAATAAATTGATGTTCCTTGTTGGCACGCGTGTTCTGCTACTGCTGACAGTTTTATTTGGGATGATTTTATATTTCTCTGATGTTCTTTTAGTCTCGTGCTGATCATTCGTCCTGTTTGCCCAACATTAACTGCACGTGTGGTAATTATAATTCGTTACAAGTTAGATACATCAGTGTGTTCTGGCTATCGCCTGATTAGGCTGGTTGTAATCACCAGCAAAACGTCGTACTCGAATTATAAATGTTGTGGTTTAACTCTCTAACACACCGGTGTGCTGTACTAGTGACGAATTGGCATGTTCTGTATACGTGACAACCCTTACTAGTTGGCTGTGTTGGGTGGTGGCGGGATTTTAACGACACATTTATATATTTACGCGATCTAACCCAAAAACCTCTATTATGAATGATATTGGTCGCGAAAGCCTACGTGTTAAACTAAATCCAATGCCCACCCCTACATCTGGCTTCAAGCAGTGAGGAGATGAGGGTGGTGAAATGATAATAATAGTTCTGTAACTTTGAAAACAAGAATCACTACTCTGACCTTGCACTGAAGCTCATGGTGGAACCCTACGCAGCGTCACTCTTCGGACACCAAGGCCTCAGCCTCACATCGGTTCTCTGCTCTCACCCCTTCGCTGTGGAACTCTTAAATCGCATTGCACATCCGCAACGTCAATGCACTCTAACTACTTTCAAGAAACAAAGGCCTCTCTATCTGTATTGGCTCATGCTTTTGAGCAGCCCTGAGCTTGGCTCCGTGCCTCTGAGTTGTTAAGTTGTCTGCAAAATCTGGCACGTTATAGATGTCATTATTATTCTTTGGTTCTTTCGGTAAAGTCACGTAGATAGAAAAATAATAATAAAGTGAATAAAAATCATAAAAATAAAATGCAAATAAAAACCACCACGTTACGATTGCAACACAAGCGGTCGTCATCAGGAAAAGGGGGGTTAGCCTCTAAAGGCAAACTGTTTATAAAGGTTTAAAATGGGCATAGCCGAAGTGTCAGCAGCATGGGCAGGGCAGCTAATGTTAATGTAAGTGATGGTAGTAGTGGGCAACGACGGCGATGGTGGTGGGTTTACACCAATTAAAGGGCTGCCAGGTATAGGTTTAACATGGGCGTAGCTCAGGTGTAGCAGCATGGGCGGGGCAGCTAATGTTAATGTAAGTGATGGTCGTAGTGGGCCACTAAAACGGAATGTGGTGCCGTCACCACGCAAACGAATGCGGTGACGCCTCCCACACAAACAGAACGTGGTGCTAGTAGTGATGGTAGTAGTGTGATGCTTCTCGGCTTGTCAGGTTTCAGTATGAGAAATGCATCATATTTACCGATCATTTCCACTGTCAAGGCTGCCAGTCATAGAATCTCACTTGTAAATTGCATTGTCAGCTGCCGGGTACTGCAGTGCTGGTGAGTGGTTTTTTTTGGGGCAGCTTTCATGTCGATTGCTTGCGATTGGTGTGTGTTTATACACAGTGTTTTGCATGTCGGTATTGGCGCGGGTGGTGGTGGGGGTGGATAGCAGAGGCTGTGAATGGGTCACACAGCCGCACCATGTCTTGTGTGTGATGGGGCCCATGGGCCTGCGCATGCCACACGCGCAGTGCGTGAGACTTGCCAGCCCCGAATTCTTACGACACACAGGCTGGGGGAAAAAGACTTAGTAATTGTCAGAAATGTGAGTGCGCACACCACTTATGGCATCACTTGCAATAGGAACTGGGGTGCTGTTAATATAGGGTCTGCTGTCAGGTAAGAACGCAGTTTTTCCAAAATGATGCTAGCCATCGCCGGGAACTAAACTCAGGTTGCCGGGTTCATCGTGCAGTACTCTGACCACCATGCTACCGCAGATACTAAAATGTAATCAACCTTTTAGTTATTAGGACTAATAGGTAAATTTTCTCCTTTATGTGATGAGTAATGCCACAGATACTGAATGCTGTCTTGCTCCTGATACTCAATACCAATCAGTGCAGCAGTCTGAGCTATGGGTATGGATGGTGCAGTACTGGCAGTAAGCCAATAAATATTATGAGGCTCTTAATTATGTGCACTGCTTTATCAAACAAGATGAATTTAGTACGAAAATTAAGAATTCAGATTTTTTTTTATATATAGAGAGTTTAAGATGAGATAGCCAGGTGCCTCAGATGCGCTGAGCTGGAACTGCTGAGATCCTAGGTTCAATTCCAGGCAGTCACCTGGGATTAAACCGAGTTCTCGAGTGGATAAATTGATTGTCTTGGCCTGGCTAAAGAATGACTTGCACAAAAAGGGCATTACATTGAACTTTGCTTCAGCTCTGTCTCACCTATAGAGCTGGCGGGAATGTGTTACCCCCTTACTGTGTGGACCACAGGTCACCTGAAGGGATTTCAGCGGTAGCTCTGTCATGTCCGCTTCCATGGGCCGTTCTCTAATACTAAGCATCATAATGCAGGGCAAGAGATCCAAATGGATGTTTCGTCTCATGGCACAACATCGAGAGCGTGCTCAGGATATAACTGGCGGAAAAGAGAAAATAAAGCTTTAAATAAAGTGAAGTTAATGCGTTGTGCGTGCGCGTGTTGGTCGGTGTCACGGGCAGGTTCATGGAGTCGCGCCACCTGCACCTCTACATGCCGGCCATCATGGCTTTCATCGCTGCCACCACTTCCATCGTCTACTACCACAACATCGAAACGTCCAACTTCCCCAAGCTTCTGCTCGGTGGGTTTTATAACATGAATGAGAAAGCAACAAAAACAATTACCGTGCAGTCCAGCAGGGTGCAACAGAGCAGTCGGCTCACTCTGCGATTCTCCTTACATGCAAATATTCTCGATTTTATCAACGCAAAAGAGCAGAGAGAGGAACTGTAATTACATTCTGACACCACCTGGATGATATGCTTCCTCCCTGGTGGAGTATTTACATAGCAGAGTGAGACTATGCATTGAAGTCGTGATACACGCATGGCACCGTGTGTGTGAGAAGTTACTGTTATACATTAATTGCAGAAAATATTGTACTAGCCTAACATTGAACAATTTGCATTTCCACCGGTGATAAGTTAAATAATCATTTTGCGATTGCAACTAACCTGACATTTGCAGCTGGAAAGGAAGTCTCCGTGCTTTCTGTTGCAATGCAATTCACATCGTCGTGCGTGGGATGGACATTGCTCCCGAAGCACTGGGGACTCACTCTGGCCATGATGTCATGGGCAGGAAGGAGTGTCTGTTGCTTGCCTAGAGAGAGATATAAAATAATGAGGAGAGTTAAGGCCCTTTGCGGTATCACCTGGGTTGCCTCTATCCTGATACCGTTGTTGTTGTTGTTGGTGATGTACAGTGTATCACGTTGCTTTGTGACGATGTCTCTCAACAACAAATCTCGAGTTCAAAATGGATCTCAGGGAACAAAAATGTATCCATATTCTCCAGATAATAAGGCGCATCAGAAAGTAAAATGTACCCCAAACTTGTGCCCGGTGTCAATAAAATTACACAAATCTGGTCACACACACACACCTCAACCGAATTATAATACGCACCCCCGACTTTTGCTTTAAGATTTTAGAAAAAAGTGCATCTTTTATAAGTCAGAGAATACGGCAATAGAACATTTAAACCAACATCCATTGGTATTTATATATATATTTTGCAAATGTTAAACCCATAATCTTCTTATGTGTTTTCATGTACATAGTCGGCTTCTCATGGAGTGACCCGTTTATTTATTTATTTTTACAATCGAGAGGTTTGCAAAGCAGTAATTTCAATATTTCTTGAAAAACATTATTGGGGGTCCCATTCATCCGCACTGGTCTTATTTTATTTTGAGAATTATTTTTGCTGGCCTCCAATAATAGTAATAATAATGTTTCGTTTTATATGGCATCATTTATGCAAATTGAACCACGTACAAAAAGGAAGGCAGCAGAACTTCTTTTTGAGCCGGCGCCACCAGTAATTGCCCAAGCTCTGCAGTCCTCTGTGAAATATGTTTTCCTGCAGGCAATTAATGAGTGTGTATACATATGGGAGGAAATCAGTTTTCATTGACTTTCACTGAGATTTACTATGCGATATAGATCTTGAATAACAAGCCATTGGAATCTCCAACAGCCACTGAGTGGATGGTTTTAATGTGGACAATTATTCCTGGAAGCACTAACGTCTCCCAGACTTTGAAGCGAACTGCATTCACCACAGAGGGGAGCTTTGCACTGATGCCACGTACGAAGCATCAGCTTACATCCTGTAAACTTGTTTTGCTAAATCTACACTACCATAGACTACTCTTCCGTCACTACACAATTACAGTTTCCTTCTCTTCATTTCTGGACATTCTGGAATTATTCTAGCTCAGACGCTGGAGATGGGAAACCAGTAGCTTAAGGGAGGGTGTGGGAGAGTGACAAGCGTGAATCATCCACTCTTTATTTGGAAAAGTTCAATCTCTTTGGGGAAATGTTGTAAGTAAAATTTCACTACAAATACACACAATAGTGTTGTTATGTGCAGCACTTTTGAACACTTTACGTTTTTTCTTTAGTATACAGCATCATTCTATGTTGCTGTCGAATTGTATAAAATATGTTCATCCATTAGTAAATCTACTGCTGGATGAATCCCTCCCCACACACTGTCAGTCATGGGGGTGCTCTGACCATACTTCACCTTGCAGGTAAGCGTGGATTGTTGAAGGGAGATAGGGGGTTTTCCATGATTGTTCAGACATCACTCGTAACTAATGTTAGTCGTGGCAAGGAATCAATCTTAGGTCGCTGAGTTCATGGTAGATTGCCATAACCACTGCGATCCAGACCCTGACTCCTGTATATTTGAAGTTTGCATGTCACTCTCCCCCGTGGTCGTGTGGATTTTTCGCTGAGTCCTCCGGTTTTTCCCTCCACATTTATTGATGTGCGTTTAGAGTATTTGGTTGCTATAAATGTCCACATGATAGGTGCTGGCCAACCACGCCCCTTCGTATGCCGTGCAAGCCTTCCTGGGCGCTACTCACCAACAACACCTGCCCCAAATTTCCTTAAAGGCCAAACGTGGGGATCCTTGTCTCTGTGCCCCTCCGCAGCCCTGCTGGTCTACTGGCTGCTGGCCTTCACCATGAAGACCATCAAGCTGGTGAAGTTCTGCGAGCACGGCGTCGGCTTCAACCAGCTGCGCTTCTGCATCACGGGTCTGCTGGTGCTCATCTACGGCATGCTGCTCTCCGTCGAGCTCAACGTCATCCGCATGCGGGTGGGTCCTCGGCTAGCCCGGGGCGGCCCTCGCGCCCAGGCCGTTACAAGCAAGTACCTCGCTGACCTCGTCAGCAAGGAGCATAAACCATCATCGCGCAAACTCTGGTCATCCTCGCAGCAGCGGCTTTTGGCTGCCCATTGAACAAAGACGGTCACCGCATCGTGGTGCTTTCAGATGTGCTTCTGCGGCCGTCTGGAACGCTCTTCCTTCCGATATTACTTTTAAATAATCTAGATTGAAAACTAATTTCTTTGAAACTGCTTTTTATGTTTAGTTTGTTGTCCTTCCCCCGCACCTCCGATTAGCACAGTTGGCTATGTACGGTGCGAAAGAAGTTCTCCATACATACAGGGGAGGCACGCACCCTGCGCGTTCGACAGGGATAAGAAAACTAAACTATCAACTATTTTTCAATCTTACCAGGTAAGGCCTCCACTGAGCTATGTAGCTCTTTTTTTCAGAAGTGACCTGGCCATCACAAATGATGGCTCAACGAAGTGGCTTATCATCTGGAAATGTTAAGCAGCCAAATACTCTAAAATGTGTGATGTTGATTCTAAATCCACGCGACTACAGGGAGAGAGTAAGACATGCAAACTCCAAATAAACAGCAGTAGGCGTCAAGGTAGGGATTGAACTTACGACCTCGTGTATGCCAGGCGAGGTAGTTAATATCTCGCCACAGTGGCGCCCATACGTTGCCACCAGTCCCAGTTTTCACATGATTGTCCTCTTCATGTGGGAGCTGCCCTGGGAAAAATGCAAGTCTTCCCAGGACACTGACAATCCCGGTTTTCGTCAGTTGCGTAATAATGCAACACACTTTTGCTTACGTGCAGTTCTCCCCTCTTCTGGTATTGTGAGATATTCTTCTTCACATGATATGTCCTGATTTGCTGTACCTCAGAGGCATCAACCCTATGTTGGGATAAGATGGGTAAGTGATAGAAATCGTTAATAGAGAATGGTGTAGTTGCGGCAGATGGAGATGAAAGATTTTCGGAGGGAGTGGGAGAGATTGGGGTAGGCATGGGATAAAAGTGGGAAAGAAATATGGATGAATCAGTACAGGACATTAGCGTGATACTGAATAAAAAATACCATTGTGCTGACAAGAACAACGTGGTCTGGACTTACGAGGGGTGACTCATGCGTTAGCAGAAGGCCATGTGGGGTTGGTGGAGCAATGTGTGTTGTTATTGTTCCATCCACTTCACCAAATCGGAGTAACTCTACTACGGTCAAGTGGGCCTCTGCCAAAATATGATTCACAAACAAGATGGTTTATTTTTCCTATGCATTAGTGCTTCATATTGTTCTTTAGAACTGCTTTTTATGTTTAGTTTGTTGTCCTTCCCCCACACCTCCAGTTAACACGATTGGCTATGTACGGTGCGAAAGAAATTCAACATATATACATATTGGACTATGCTATTTCTTTTCTTTTCTTATCCTAATATAAAATATAATTGAATTATGAAACAATGAGCGTGCTCTGCCTGTCTCTGTGGCCGCTCTCCACGTCGCTCTGTGACCTGCCTTTGCCCTTATTTTGTAGTCAGTGCTCTTTCAGAGTTTCTCACATTTATCTTCATATGGGTTGAGCTGCTCGTCTTACTTGGTCCTCTTCATCTCATTGTGTAAATCGAGCTCCCTTGCGAGATCTTCCACACAAACGCATTTGTCTCCTCTGACAACCCTGGAACTCGTTCCCTTTTACGTCTTCACTCCAAAGTAATACCTGCAGGCCCTGATTCACGTGGCGTTTTTAGCTATCATTCCAGCACCTCCCAGTTGATTGAGTTAGTAGCACTACATGGCGAACCCAGCGAGTTCAATTCCAAGCTGTTGCAAACTTTGTTGGCACCTGTTCTGAGCCTTCACTTGGTCAACTCAGCAATGCGATGCTTTGGAGACTATAGTTGGTGGATCTGCATGAGATGAGAGTTGGTGAGGGTTGGTGGATCATTATCAACTGTAGCAGCAACACCATTATCATCATCATCAACATCACAATCACAAATTGGAACATCTTTCACCATCTTTATTGCCATCTTCATATCCATATCATTGCTGTCATAATCATCATCATCATCCATGTCATTATCCTCACCATCATCATCTTGATTGACATTTTGAAAGTTGCACTAAGCTATCTTTAGCTTAACTCAACAATTCTGCACCTCCATTTTGGACGGAGCAACACTTGCACACATTAGTGGTCACACATTAATGCAGAAGCCACTGTGGCCATGAATCCACTCACAGGCCACTGTGGCTACGCGTCCACTCACAGGCCACTGTGGCCACGCCTCCATTCACAGGCCACTGCAGCCACGCCTCCATTCACAGGCCACTGTGGCAATGTGTTCATTGATAGGCCACTGCCGCCATGTGTTCATTCAAAGGTCACTGGCCACGCCTCCATTCGCAGGCCACTGCGGCCACTGCGGCCACTACAGCCACGTGTCCGTTCACAGGCCACTATGGCCATATTCGAGTACATTAACCCTAATGGCCGAGCTCGGCCGCATTTGTCCCTCCGTGCCCCCTCGGTCACAGAAGTACGTTGGCTTCCGCAACCCGAAGAAGGTGAAGCCACCCGAGGACCTGCAGGACCTGGGCGTGCGGTTCCTCCAGCCGTTCGTCAACCTCCTGTCCAAGGCCACCTACTGGTGGATGAACGCCTTCATCACGAGCGCACACCGCCGCCCCATCGACCTCAAGAGCATCGGCAAGCTGCCCATCGCCATGCGGGCGCTCACCAACTACATCCGCTTTCGCAACGCCTACGAGGAGCAGAAGGTATCCCGCGTCGGAGCCGCGTTATGGGATTTCTCCCGTCGCCTACCGCAAGAGACAACAGAAACACGTTTAAGATGATGCACCTTGCACGCGCGTGCATATTACGAGCTGGTGTAGGCGTGGCGTCCGAAACATGAAACATTGTGATGCTTCTGGGCCCTACAGAAGCAGAACGCCCCAGCCTCAAACTTGCTTATCCCAACTAGTTTATCCCAACTAGTTTCCTCAGGTGGGTCTCAACCCCCTCAGCAGTAAGGTGTAACGCCCCCTGAGGAAGGCAGCAGGGTGTTGTATGTATGTATGTTGAACTTCTTTCGCCTTGTACTTAGCCAACCGTGCTAATTGGAGGTGTTACAACAAAGCTGAATGAATAAGTCAATGACTTAATGCCAAAGGCTTTGACCGACCATCACCTATCATCAGAAACAATAACAACACATTGAACTTAAAATAAAAACATTGCCATGTTTTTTTTAAACCAATATAATAGATGAGCTACAAGAAGGCAACCTGGCTGCAAGTACAATTAAAGTCACGTGGCTCATATAAAGGTGTTGGTGCAGTGATTGGCTTCAGCATTGCCACACAAAACTTACTACACGCAGACAATCTGAAGTAGTTCTGCTTGACATGGACCAGTCTCTACCAAGTGTTGTCTCATTATTATGATATCAATATTCGTCTTAGCTACCACCCAGTTCTGCACTGGTAACACATATTTTAAGAGTTACTGCACATGCCACCGTACAGGTTTTCGCGATTGCGCTGCACAGCTTTCTGATGTCTTGTCGTGTTGTACCGCTCGCAGCATGTGGAGCGAAACGTCGGACACCATGCCAAACAACCCGAGAGCACATCGGAGAGATGCTGTACATCACAGGCAAATTATCTAATTCATGCTTTCAATGGGGGTCTAAATTTGAATGTCGATGATCGAAGCGACCTTTCTCTACACCTGCATATCTTGCACGGCTTGCAAGAATACGAGATGCAGGCAACGGTGCTCGCTGTAATAACCGCTGCAGGTCACGCACACCTGCCGTGTGAGGGAGACTGCCGAGTAACCTGCCTCGTTTTGCCTGTCCCCATCGTGAGTGCTGCATTTGGCTCGTACTTGCGCACTGGCGGCGTCGGCTGCGTGCGTGTGTGTGTGCGTGCGGTGCCGGCTGAGAAACGTGTTTCTCTGCCGCTCTCTCTCCGCAGCTGTCTGCCGGAGAGGCGCAGCCCCCCTCCATCTGGCGCTCACTGTACCGCGCTTTTGGCCGGCCCATCCTGCTGAGCAGCACTTACCGCTATCTGTCCGATTTGCTGGGCTTCGCCGGCCCCCTCTGCATATGGGGCATCGTCCACCACCTGAGCAACAAGGACAAGAAGCTGCACCCGCAGGTCAGACTCTTCTACCGGGGTGGCTCGGTTTGCGCACTCGCTGCAAACCCCCTCTCGCAGCGGCAGTGGCTGCCGGAACGTGGCACCAGTTGGACTCCTGGTGAAGTGTGACACGTGGGGGTGGGCCAACCGAGTAAGTGTAATGTGATTTGGCTTGTGGTCTGTAGATGCACAGCCCTCGTTTAATACGACCTATATTTATTTTGACAATGATGCATGTAATAAACTTTATTTGGAGCTTTCGTGACTGCAGGAATTACTTTTTGGTTCTTTCGGTAAAGTCACGTAGAAAGAAAATAAATTAAATAATAGAAAACCACGTTTCGATTGCAACACAAGCAATCATCATTAGATGATAATTACTTAGATGATGATTGCTGATGATTATTGCTTGTGTTGCAATCGAAACGTCGTATTCTATTATTTAATTTTGGTTTTTTTCTACGTGACTTTACCGGAAGAACCAAAAACATGCATGTAATCTTAACTATTTAAAAATTTTATATTGTTGGTTATCTTTGGTAGAGCTCCCCTAAAATTAAAACCTACGTATAGTTGACGTATTTTTTTCTTCTGATCTCCTTGCTCTGGGTCACACTTTCATGGTTTTTAGTGCAGCTTTGCGATTGGCTGACTGTTCTTTAAAATTGGTTGTATTTTTGATGCTGTAATTTTGTCAGCAGTTAAAACTAATACCTCTGTATTATAGCCATGTTGATTCAATCTAGCTTAGTTTTCAGGATTGCTTCTTACACGACCGAGTATGAAGGGCAGGGTTTCTGATGGCATTTTGGCAAAACTCTGGTCGAATGAATACGAACATAAGCGTGAGTGCATGTAGACAGTATGATGACCATAATTAGAATGGGATGGGGAGCCCGATGTCGATGTAGTTATAGCTCACCTGTGTGGAATTAGTCCATTTCCTTTTACAGGGGATGTAGTAGCATTCACCACTTTCGGTTTTTGTTGATAATATCTAAGAACATTACCGGCTGCAAAGTATTCATAGAAATCCTGTCTTTACCAAAAGCACCCAAATTTGGACAGTCTTCTAAATTGCAAAATTCTTGCTTTTTTATAGCAAGTATTTATCTGGATTATTTATTTATCAATTCATTTCATAATGAGGATAAATGAAACAGTAGAACAAAAATACGAATGGAACCTATGGTACAATGTAATTGCGATGCTTTCATGTAATCTTGTGACATTGCATGTTGGGAACTGAGTCACTGCTGGTATCTGTGGACTCTTTTCTCACAATCAAAGTCAAATAAATACCTGGCTGAAATGGGCATTGGGGCATTGGTGCTCATCTCCTCTTTATAAGCCCTGAGCCAGTTGTGGAAATTCAACATTCCTATGGTAGAGGTGAGTCTATCCAAACGACAACCACTGTTGACTTCCCCACATAGTGGTACGGAACTAAGTTTAAACATACCAGAGGGACAATGGGCTGAGTCGACCCCCAACCAGGGTTTGAACTCACGACATTTTGATTGCAAGCTGCTCGCCCTACAAGCTGAGTCAGCTCATCTCACAATAAAATCACATGGGAATGTTAATTACAATTTTGTGATTGGAATATAATTCATAGAAAACAACTCCACAATAGAGGTTTTTTGGGTTAGGTCGCTTAAATATAAATGTATTGTTAAAACCGCAACCACCGACACAGCCGGTTAGTAAGGTTTGTCACGTAAACAAAACATGCCAATTTGTTAGTAGTTTAGCACATCGGTGTGGTGGAGATTACAGTAAACCCAGAGCATTTACAATTCAAGTGTGATTTTTCGCCGGCAATTACAACCAGACTCATCGGGCGACAGCCAGAATAAAAATAAAAAGCCAGAAAATAACTGTTAAACGATATTTGTAACATGTGATATTTTTAGTTTCATTGTGCATGCAGCACAGTGCCACTCTAGTAGCTAAATGTGTCTGATTGTCGTGTAGCGAGTGAATAAAGTGAAAGACGTGGTGCCACAAATTGGTTTGTCAATATTGGCCCACGGGCAAGCACACGGTGCCACTAGAAACGCCACACTCACCACAGATTCAATCTGGGATAAGGCGAGCGCAAAGTTCCATAACAATGCCCCTTCAAGCTTTGCCATTTTGACCACGGCACCGTAAAGATTCTTAACATGATCTAAAAAACACAAAATAATGCATGTGATTCATTGTTAATACCTGGGGTTCAGAGCCCAGACTCAGGTAACATTTGGATTCTTTAGGTTTACTGTCAGTGCTTGAGGCTCATAGAGCCAGACTATTATAATCCTTAGTATTCGTACGGGTGTCAATTCGTGAACCCCATACGCTCCAATGCAATGATGTTTGGTATTATACTTATATAGTGTCCCACAAGCGTATTAATACAACAAATACTCAGGCCAAATATTAGTAAATGGACTAAACATCAAAATTCAGGATCCTACGGAATGATAGCCTTGAGATTCAGTATTTCACGGATAAATAAAGCACTTTTGATTTAAAGCTTTCGTGACTGCAGGGATTAATATTCTTGGTTCTTTCGGTAAAGTCACGTAGAAGGGAGACAATAAAAAATAAAATTAGAAAAAATTAAATTATCACGACGTTTCGACTGCAACACGAGCAATTATCATCAGGTGTGAAAACCACAGCAAGAAAATTTGAAAAAAGTGGCGGGTTTTTTTAACGTTAGCACCACGGAGAGCGATTTGACAGTTATTCAGATGGACGAGTCCATCTATGTTCGGAAAAGAGGAGGGGGGAGACGAAAATAATGGATGCGGTCTGAAAGCCACCGTAAGCGTGAAGAATCAATTAAGACCCGAAATGATTTATAAAATCCTTCCAATGATTGCTAAGCCAGAATCCATCTTCTCGGTGGAAATTGTCTCTGTGTTTGTATATGTGGATAGCCTCATGAACGAATCTCTCATGGTAGCCAGATGGCTTGCAAAGAACCTCTGTCTTGGAGAAGTCAATGTCATGTGAGCCTACTGAATTATAACAGTGATCTGCCACGGCCGAGGTGTTGGTCTTACCGTCTTTTAGGTCTGCTTTGTGTTCACGAATGCGGTCCAAGATATGTCGTTTGGTTTCTCCAATGTAACTACTACCACAGAGGCAACTTAGTTTGTAGACGCCAGGGTACTGTATGTCCGGAATTACATCTTTTACAGACGGAACCAGATCATGGATTTTATGTAATGTGTTGAATCGGACCTGGATCTTGTGTTTATTCAAGATTTTGGAGATCTTTTTTGTGATCCCCGCAATGTAGGGTAAACTGATGGTTTTGAATGGCTCCTCAAGAGGGTCCTTCTTCATGGTTGGAGTGATAGCTTTGCGGATTGTGTAGTCGGAGTAACTATTAGCCTTAAGAGCTTGGTGTACGTGCTTGAGTTCACTGGCTATGTGTTCCTGGTCGGATATGCATTTGGCTCTATGGTGCAGAGTCTTGATGAGGGAATTCTTCTGGGATGGATGGTGGTGGGAATCTGGTTTCAGGTAAACATCCGTATGGGTAGCTTTCCTGTAGACAGAGTGGCTCATTGAACCATCAGGTCTCTTTTTAATTAGGACATCCAAAAAAGGTATCTTGCCATCTATTTCGACTTCCATGGTAAATCTGATGGCTGGGTGTATGGAATTGATGTGGTCGAGGAATTGGTCTAGAGCAGGCTGGCCATGTGGCCAGATGACAAAAGTGTCATCCATGTACCTTTTCAATAAGGTTGGGCGCAGAGTGGCAGTCTGGATGGCGTCAGTCTCAAATTTCTCCGTGAAAATGTTGGCGACAACCGGAGATAGGGGGGAGCCCATTGGGGTACCCTCAGTTTGTTTGTAAAAAGTTCCATTCCAAGTGAAGTATGTATTGGTTAAGCAGTGTCTCACCAGGGGGAGTACCTCAGTGTTTATGTCCTTGATGAACCAAGTCTTCAATGATTGCGATGGTGTCAGGTACAGGAAACTTTGGTGAATAAGGAAACTACATCAAAACTAACAAGCAGGTCGTCTGGGGACAGGGAAATACCCGTGATTGTCGATACCAGGTGAGTAGAATTTTGTACCGCAGAGGTGGTTTTTCCAGTGAAAGGCCGCAGGATTTCAGACAGAAAACGAGCCAGTTTGTAGGTGGGGGAGTTGATAGTAGAGACGATGGGACGAAGGGGTGTATCTACTTTACGTATTTTTGGTAAGCCATATAATCTTGGTGGCCTGGCAGCAGAAGGTTTCAATGAGAACTGTTTGGTTTGATCAATTAATGCGGTTGAATCAGAAATTATTTTGTTGGTTTGTATGACGAGGCTGTTGGTGGGATCTCTTTTTATTTTTGTATAGCTGCCATCGTTGAATAATTCTTGAATTTTGTTGTTATATTCTATTTTATCCATGATGACAGTGGCATTGCCCTTGATGGCTGAGAGGATGACAATGCCATCCCTCTTTTTTAATTTATACAATTCAAAACGCTCATTTTTGCTGAGGTTGCTAGCTGGCATCTTAGCGTTTTTGAGGGATGCAGCGTTTTAGCTAAAGGGCTAAAGTTCAGTTTTCCTGCTTGTAAATACATATATTGTATTATGATGCAACGCTTAAAATACATATTAAATTCAGGTTTACTTTAATAGTTCAAACAACATTATGCAGCACGTAAAAAATCATGAATCTTGAACAGGAGTTTTGTTTCGATAAATTAACACACCAGCTGATGATTGATTTCCAAATGTGTTGTTCACTGAGAATCATCCTGCAGTGCATTGCAGCCGGGTATTTGATGATTTCAATGGGTTGAATTTATTGGTAGGGCATAGAAGACCATGGGGGGAGGTGGAGCATGGAAAGAGTGGGGGTGGGGTGGGTTGAAGGATTTTATGCAGTCAATAATATTTATAATGAGGAGTCATGTATTGTGTTTTGAGTTTTTTTTCTCTCCCCACTTTGTACTTTTCATGAGTGGGGCCCTGCCCCACCGGCCTCTAATGCACCTCCGATTAGCACGGTTGGCTACGTACGGTGCGAAAGAAGTTCCACACACGTACAGTACATAGTGCCGAGCCGCCACTGATTTGGGCTTTGAGCCAGCACCATACCTGCCCTGAGCTCTCGCTGCCAAACCTCTGTGCGTGCACCGCTGTCATCTGGCGCTATGAGCCACTGGCTGCTGATACGTGCGACGCGTGCACTTGATGACAAGTTGAGAGTGCTGTAGCCTCTTTGTGGGATCGCGAGCGGCACAAGGACAGGGCACTAGTGTATCAGGAATGCAGCCGGTGCTCGTGCCTTCACTGGCTTCCGAATTCCTGCATCATCCTCCCCGTTTTAAACCTGTACCATCCATTGTTACAACATTGTGCATGACACGTTTTGGGGTGAATTGTATTAAACATTAGGCGTTTGAGATAGAATTCCAGTCTAATCGTGCACTTTGGAGCTAAGGGTTGACAATGCCAATGTGATAGAATTTAGTGTATGTTGAACTTTTTTTACACTGTACGTAGCCAACCATGCTAATAGGAGGTGCAGCGCACGGTGAAAATCACATCACACAAATCAAACACTAATTGTCCATGCAGCGTTGGTGGCTAAGCAGAGGGAAAATACACATCGCACTGGTTTCTGCGAAAAAAAAAACATTTTAAATGGTTACTATAAACGAATCCAACATCTTGGCTGTGTCCGTCCTTGAAGTGAAAATCTTGAAATGTGGCTCGTTCACAGCGAGTCCCCCTGCCGCCTTAGCCATGTGCTTTGTGCCAATTTCCAGGACAAGTTCTTTGGCGTGTACTTCATCTCGTCACGGGAGTTTCTGGCCAACGCCTACGTGCTCGCGGTGCTGCTCTTCCTGGCTCTCATCCTGCAGCGCACATTCCTGCAGGCCTCCTATTACGTTGCCATCGAGACTGGCATCAATCTGCGTGGAGCCATACAGGTCAGAGAGAGACACTTGAAGACTCGCCTGCACGGGGTTGCACGACGCGGCACGGAGTGGCACGGAGTGGCACAGGGCGGCCGGCGTCACTCCTCAGTAACCCCATGTAGGGTCTGGATATAGGAGAGCACCGTAGAGTTCATCTAGAACACCCAAAACTGTAAAAGGGTGCGGAGGTAGGAGGATGGGCTCCGGGGTTTTCTCTACGCTCAGAGTACCCTCGACCCTAGAGGGTGGTTGGGTTAGTTAAATGAACCTGGTACACCTTAACCTGCTCCTGTTTAAGGAGGAAAGCACACCCACAAGGCACCCCACCCCGCCATGCTGATGTTACCCGTGTTGGTATGTGCTCTCTGATGTGAACACTGATGTTGGTTCAATCATAATAAAAAAGTGCTGATCAGCCCTCAGTGTCCAAATTACTCAGGTTACTGAGCAATCAAGACATTAGTGCTGCCCTGTAGGAATGTAACAGTGGTCATTACCATGACAAGCACCATTGCCCTGGTGGTGAGGTGTCCGCCACTGGCGTAGAATGACAAATAGTGATGGTCAATGGCCCTGCTGATTGTCTGAGCAGTGAGACACTTTGGGCTCAAGATCCATTCGAGCAACAGACCTCTCACACTAAAAAACATATCGACATAATGTACCCACAATAGTATTCTGTACACCCACACAGCGCTGTTTGTATAAGGCATGTCTGTTTTTGTAACATGCTGATATGTTGGTAGCCTTCAGTGCGTGCGTGTTTGTGTCCTCCTTCAGACGACGATCTACAACAAAATCCTAAGGCTGTCCACATCCAACATGTCCATGGGGGAGATGACCATCGGGCAGATCTGCAACCTCGTGGCCATTGACACCAACCAGCTCATGTGGTTCATGTTCCTGTGCCCCAACCTCTGGGCCATGCCAGTCCAGGTAGGTTCTTCCACTGGGATTGCCGTGCAACGGGGTCCACGCGGTGTGACGATGCGGTTACTGCAATGGGTGCGCTGTGGCCCAGGGCTTCCCATGGACCTGTGAGCTTTTTTTGGGGTCCTCAGAGGTGTGCTTATGGCTTGAGAGGTAGAAGTTTCTGTTCCATAAGCCATCACGGCTAATTTGTTGCTTTTCGTTGTCAAATGTAGTTTTCCAAAATTGCTCCATCCTGCTCTCGATTAGCCTCTTCAGGATTTTTAACCCAATCTGCCTTCAGCAACTGTCCTAGGAATACATATTCTGTTGCATTTACCGGTTGGGTACCTACAACAATTAATTAAAAGTTTGTTATACTTTTGTTTTGCTCATATTTACCTTGGGCCCAACTAGGGCACCTATCTTTGTCGAGTTTTTCAGTCATTTCCAGTAGCTCATGTCCATGAGCCACCTTATTCTGAGACGTATAGATATTATCTCAATGGCTGTATAAAGATGTTACATAAACTCAAATGTAAAAAACTTGAAACACGTGCCATTAATAGCTATGCTGAAAGGTAAATATGCACTAATTTTATTTTGTCAGGAATATGGAGATCTGAAATTTCTGTGCTGCTGTTTCTATCTCTAGACGATAATCATTTGCTTCCTTATGTCCTTCGCGGCTCACTACTGCTGATATAATACTGGTAGGAAACGTAGTGGACTGGAAGCCCAACCAGGATTAATTCACAGGAGGCAGGGGATTAATTGTGTATGTCTGTGGATGTCTGTCCACGTGTATCCGGACACCCGGATATATAACAAATGCGCTCCTAGTGGGTATTACTGGTAGGAAACGTAGTGGACTGGAAGCCCAACCGGGATTATCACAAGAGGCAGGGGATTAATTGTGTATGTCTGTGGATGTCTGTCTACGTGTATCAGGACACCCGGATATATAACAAATGCGCTCCTAGTGGGCATTACTGGTAGGAAACGTAGTGGACTGGAAGCCCAACCGGGATTAATTCACAGGAGGCAGGGGATTAATTGTGTATGTCTGTGGATGTCTGTCCACGTGTATCCGGACACCCGGATAAAATGGGAGGGGAGGGGCTGGGTGGGGAGGGGAGGGTGGGGAGGGGCTGGGGAGGGTGGGGAGGGTGGGGAGGGGCTGGGTAGGGAGGGTGGGGAGGGTGGGGCTGGGTGGGGGGTGAGGCTGGGTGGGTGGTGGGAGGGGTGGGGCTGGGTGAGGAGGGGCTGGTCACCCCGTGGTGCCCTTATAAAACTCAACGTTTAACCTACTCACGCCGGCTTGTGCCCGCCCTCACAGTTGCGCATATTTGCGGAATACACCACGTGGTGCCGCCGTTGACCCTGGCCATTGACCGAGCAACCCAACGTTCCTACCAGCTCCCTCCGCAGGAATGTGTTTATTCAGGCCGATTTCACCAACCAAACCCTGTGCCTCAGGTTACTGAGTAATCAACATCGGCTACTTGGCCGATCCGGGACGGGGGATGGGAAATTACCTTACAAAGGATAAATAAGGAGGAAATATATACGGTATGTCCCTCCACGTAATATTATATTTTAACAAAGGACAGAAGAGTCCACAAAGAAGTAGGAACAATTAAATTTGCATTGATAAACAGGGGACAAACACAAATTGGGTGTATCGTTTTAACTGTCAAGAAATGTTGAGTGGACCTGTTCAAGACTTGGGCAGGACACATTTGAGACATTCTGGTCCTGCTGCGTGTCGCTAGTGTCGCGGTTAACACACTGCGCTACGAACCCCGGCAACCCAAGTTCGATTGCCGCTCACGGCCAACATCAGTGACGATAATATGAACCGGTTCTGGGACTGCTATAGGTCGACTCAGCCTCAAATGAGTGCATGGTGTGGTGTCTGAACATCGCCGACTGGGGAGACAAAGACAGCCGGGCGTGGTGTGGGCCACCAACCCCCTTGTGTGCCGTTCCGGCCAACATAGGCGTTCGCTCACAGAACTTGCCCCGAAAGTTTGTTAAGGCTACGCGGGGGATCTTTGTCTTTTGTCGCGCAGATAGTGATGGGGGTCATCCTCCTGTACAACCAGCTGGGCGTGAGCGCGCTCATTGGGGCCACGGTGATCGCGCTGCTCGCCCCCGCGCAGTACTACATCGCCACCAAGCTGGCCGACGTACAGAAGTGCACGCTGGTGAGGAGTGCGCACCACCACACCTCACCGAGCTTGCCCTCACCTGGTGGCCCAACGACTACACCTGACTTGACGCTCAGCGAGAGCGACACCGCTTCGTCATGTCATCATTGGGCGGTGGACATTTCTTTATTTCAGTGATTGATCTGCTTTAACGCGTAGGCTTTCGCGGGCAATGTTATTCATAGTGAAGTTGTTTTTTTTGTTTTGGTACTCAAATCTTAAACGTTGTGGGTTTACTCTCCAACACACAAGCGGTGTGCTGAAACAGTAACTAATTGGCACGTTTTGTTCACGTGCAAACCTTACTAATTGGCTGTGTCGGGTGGTGGTGGGTTATGAACGCATTTATATTTATGCAATTTAACCAAGAACCAAAAACCTTTATAATAATTAATTTGATGTTTTGTGGCTGTGATAGGTAATGGGCAGGAGGGGGCAATGCAGAAAATGTACCATTGTTGTACTGTACTGTGCAACCATATCAATGCTGCTTTCCTTCACTAACCCCCACTTACCGACATGCGGCATGGTAAAATAACTTTCATTCCACGCAGGGCCATACACGTACATTTGATGATGTTGAGACGAGCATTCGTTTATTGGTCGTTAATATTTTAGCTCAAAATTTTCACACACGCAGCACGCATTAGATGTAAAGACAAACCAGTAATCGTGAAAATGCTTTCTGATGTGCCTGATGATGAAGTGAATATAACGTAATGTCTTCCTTGTACAATGTCGTGGCAATGGCAAACAAAAGCCACGTGTTTACATTATGAGACCTCCTTTGCCAGAAACAAGATATAGGAATAGGTTTTACCCTTTTAACTGGCACAAAAACTGACACCTTTATTCAAGGCATCATGTTTGCAATCACCACAACACAAGCAGTCAAAATGCAAACAAAAAAGACAACTTTGATAATAATATGCACTGTCCTTGAATTTGATTGGTCCACACCCGAGACAGCTTTTCTTAGAGCCTAGTCTCCATTGGTGTTGGACCAGAAGACGCCAAAAGGCGTACAACTCAAAAACAGCACACTATCAGAGTATTGAGGGCTCGGGGTGAGCATTTACATTATGAGACTTCCTTTGCCAGAAACAAGATATAGGAATAGGTTTTACCCTTTTAACTGGCACAAAAACTGACACCTTTATTCAAGGCATCATGTTTGCAATAACCACAACACAAGCAGTCAAAATGCAAACAAAAAAGACAACTCTGATAATAATATGCACTGTCCTTGAATTTGATTGGTCCACACCCGAGACAGCTTTTCTTAGAGCCTAGTCTCCATTGGTGTTGGACCAGAAGACGCCAAAAGGCGTACAACTCAAGGACAGTGCATATTATTATCAGAGTTGTCTTTTTTGTTTGCATTTTGACTGCTTGTGTTGTGGTTATTGCAAACATGATGCCTTGAATAAAGGTGTCAGTTTTTGTGCCAGTTAAAAAGGTAAAACCTATTCCTAAAAGCCACGTGTGTGTACATCTCATACAAAAACATATTCCACTTGTGCGGCACACGTTTTTGCAACGTGTTTTGTGGGCTGTACCGCGTGCTGTTTTGCATGATGTCCTACATCACATGCCACTTGCTAGGAGCTTCTTCGGGAGCCGCACATGCATTAGAACGCTGTGACACATCGCACCCTGGTCTCAATCTGAAGTCAATGCCAAGCAGAAATCACTCGGAGAGGTTTTCCACATCTAATCCAACCAAATAAAAACTGCTTGGGCTTTACATGAAATTATCCATGGTGCTCTCAGTCGCGACGTCTCTAAACGTAAATCCGATATAACGATAGCGTCCTACTGCCTACGCGGTGACCCAACTCTAGAGTCTTCCCAGGCTGTTCATCGGTGTGGCTGAGATACACCTGCCCCCTTGAGAAGCACAGACAGCTAAATGCTTTCTGACATTAACAGCTAAATGGCATCTGTCGGCATTCAAAGACACAGTGCGTCATCGTCATGCAGTGCAGTCATTAAACGAATTAAATGCAGTTTCCTGTGAATTTACTTAAACTTTTTTTCGCAAACGAAACCACGTTCACTCTTTCGCTTAAGCGGCGACGGTGTTTTTCTTGTGATCGTTTTCAGGAAGGGTCGAATGACCGCTACTGATGTTGTCTGAAACTTAAATAGCCACTGCATCAAGTAAATGTCTTTAATTGCTCCACTTATCCCATTATTCCATGAATCAATGGCTTTAACTTCCTTGTTTGAGACTGAATTCACATTACGCATGCTGAAATGTGTACTCATGTTTCTTGTTACCTTTCCCTCCCGGTAATAAGCGTGCTCTTCACGTTAGAGCTATGTTGCGTCACATATATACTTATCTTTTACCGGTTGCCCATTTGTATGGGCCAGCCAGTCCTTAATTACTATCGCCTTGGGTAGGAATGACGTCCCTCAAGACATTCCTCTTTAAAAAGCAACATGTTTTTTTTTTCCCAACATGCATCAGTTGTTCTCGACCTGCTCGGTATGTCAGCTCCCCCAATCAGAACCACAGAGAGGTCACATATCCACGCCTCTAGTCAACGCGGAGTTAGAAAGGCATTTGTTTCATGTTGTGTATTTGTGTGGTTTGTAAGGCATTATGGTGTGCTTGATGTTCCCTGCACAACATTCAAAATTTCTCCTGCATGGTATCCACGCCACAGCCTCTCGCCCCTCCCCTGAAAGGCTGGGGAAGGCAGGGGGGGTGGGGGAGATGTACCCCATAGGTTGAGAACTACTGCAATATTTGGATTGCATTTCATTGAAATAAAACTTTTTAGGAACAAAAGTTTCACACCACCTACTTCTCACAGCTGAAATCATCACCAATGTGAACAATCAGCTTCCTGCAATCCCCGATTGCACTCGGGTTCTTTTTAACGGACCTTACAGTTGACTGCTAGTACATACAGAATGAAGTAAAGATGCACAGTAGCAATGTCAGAGCGGGATTACTGCGAGACGTGAAGACTAAGCGGGCAGCCGAGAGGGCTTGCTTAATCTTTGCAGACCGTTTCAAACGTAACAACATTCTGCACGCACCTCCCCGGTGTCGGTGGTCCGGCACTACGTAGACTCGCAAACACTGGAGCCTGGCGGGTCAGGAATAGGGAATCAATATACATTTAGTAACTCGTGAATATAGGAAACTCGCGAATCCAGAACTCACACATAGCGAGGGTTTACTGTGCACACACCTTTAACATTTGGTTGACGTAGACCCATCATTACCACGTGATGACTTTGCGCGCTGTGAATATCCGGGTAATTTTCCTCAACTGACATTGGATGTGGCGTGGACAGGAGTACTCCAACGAGCGCCTCATGAAGACAAGTGAAATGCTCAAGGGCATCAAGCTGCTAAAGCTGTATGCCTGGGAAAACATCTTCTGCTCCAGCGTGGAGACCCTGAGGGAGAAGGAACTCAAGAGCCTCAAGACCTTTGCCATCTACACGTCCCTCTCCAGTGAGTTCCAATTCTCCCCTCGTTCCCCCTCTCGGAGGGGGCACACACGAAACAGGGTGGTCCGGATGTCTCGTGACCCCCATTTCATTCTCTAGAAATTTATATAGTTTTCAAAAGTAAGGTATATTTAAAGCAGAAATAAATATTAAAAGAAAAAAAATAGGGGTAAATTATATTATTGGTTCTTTCGGTAAAGTCACGTAGAAGGGAAACAATAAAATAATAAAAATATAAAACAATAAAAATTATCACGACGTTTTGACTGAAACACAAGCAATCATCATCAGGTGTGAAAACCACAGCAAGAACATTTGAAAAAGTGGAGGGTTTTTTTTTTACGTTAGCACCACGGAGAGCGATTTGGCAGTTATTCAGATGGACGAGTCCATCTATGTTCGGAAAAGAGGAGGGGGGAGACGAAAATAATGGATGCGTTCTGAAAGCCACCGTAAGCGTGAACAATCAATTAAGACCTGAAATGGTTTATCAAATCCTTCCAATGATTGCAAAGCCAGAATCCATCTTCTTGGTTGAAATTGTCTCTGTGTTTGTATATGTGGATAGCCTCATGAACGAATCTCTCATGGTAGCCAGATGGCTTGCCGCGAACCTCTGTCTTGGAGAAGTCAATGTCATGTGAGCCTACTGAATTATAACAGTGATCTGCCACGGCCGAGGTGTTGGTCCTACCGTGTTTTAGGTCTGCTTTGTGTTCACAGATGCGGTCCGAGATATGTCGTTTGGTTTCTCCAATGTAACTACTACCACAGAGGCAACTTAGTTTGTAGACGCCAGGCTATCCACATATTATTTAGGTCTCCCCCCTCCTCTTTTCCGAACATAGATGGACTCGTCCATCTGAATAACTGCCAAATCGCTCTCAGTGGTGCTAACGTTAAAAAAAAACCGCCACTTTTTTAAAAAATTTTCTTGCTGTGGTTTTCACACCTGATGATGATTGCTTGTGTTGCAGTCGAAAGTCGTGATAATTTTATTGTTTATATTTTTATTATTTTATTGTTTCCCTTCTACGTGACTTTACAGAAAGAACCAAGAATATGAATCCCTGCAGTCACGAAAGCTTTAAATCAGGGGTCAATTAATTGGGGGTTACAACACATCTGGACCACCCTGTTCAGTGAACCTCTTTCCTTCTCGAGCACCACTCTCTTCTTCTCCACCAATTCTCTCTCCAGTCCTCCCTTCCTGCACAGAGCCAGTGTGGTGCAAGTGGCCTGATGATTATTCCTTCCGCACTCATGAACCAAGCTACGTTAACTTTATCATGAACAATGTTAATTAAAATGGCACTGTTGTAAAGTTGTATTTATTAATAAACACCTCAAATGTGTTTATTTACGTTACAACAACAACACTGGGTCACGAATCGGCCCGCACCGACAGTGCTGCCCTACCCTCGCTCCCATGTTGTCAACCTCACATTAGTTTGCATACTGCAAAATAGTGTTATCGAACCAATAATTCCTATTTTAGCTTTAACAATTCTAGATTTGTTGTTATTGAAGCTAAACGTGTGATTTGTATTATCTTACGATTAAGGTTGAATGGTTATAGATTAGAATTCAAATATTGGAGTGAGGCATGCACGCATCCTCACCTCTAAGTGCCCCACGTGGCTCTGAGCTGCGGTGGTCCACTTTACGTTATTAACCAGGTAAAGTTTTAAATGACTGTGATGTTTCCATCCTATCAGCCTATGTCAGCCGTTATTTCCGACTCTCTGTGTGTCTTTCTCTCTCTCTCTCTGCGCATCTCTCTCCGATCTCTACTCCAGTGACCCAGGTGCTGCCACGGGGTCCACTTTCTGCCCCGCCTCCTCCCCCCCCCCCTTCTCTCTCTACCCCCTCGTGCCACGGCAGATCTCTCGCCTACTTCAGCAGTTTTTTTTTGCTGTGGTTGTCCCACCTGATGACGATTGCTTGTGTTGCGATCGAAACATCGTGATCTATTATTTTTCTACCTACGTGACTTTACCGAAAGAACCAAAGAATATAGTTTATATTAACATTTTATTACGAGCATAAACACACCTGTTACACTGGCTTACATTCATCAGCAACTCACTCAGTGCCTTATATCATATCTCAACCACTCCATCGCCCTGCTGTGGTGCTGGAGTCTAACCAGGGAGACTGCCCAGCGGCAGCTCTCTCGGTGTCATGACTCAAGTTGAATGCTCTACCATCCTGCAAATGTGGATTAGTCTGCTAGTAGGGGATGGTGATATTGGACTGGTTTGGGGCAGCTTGGGACTGACCAAGAGCTAGCAGGCGCCACAGATCTCATGAATAGGGCCACGTTTGTCACAAGAGACGTGAAAACAACTGTGATCCTCATCCTCTCACACTGCCATTGACCTTGATGCATGCTTACCAAATCACTTAAGCATGCACCCACAGTAATGGACAATGTCCTTGAGAAATAACAAACAATAAGCCGATGGCATATATAGCATGGATTTTTTTTTGTATTATCAAGAAATGCATATGTCGTGTAAATTGTTTACAATAACAATCATGCAATGTTTCTGAATTTGTTTGAAAATATCTGTTGCATTCTATCACTCAGCTGTACTGGTCTGAGACGTTCTCAAAATATCCCCTCTGTGTGTGTGCAGTTTTCATGAATGCTGGAATTCCAATTGCAGCCGTCCTTGCCGTGAGTATCACCCACACACATGTTCCTTCCTGCGCATCATGAAACCATTGTGACGTGTGTATGTTGGACTTATTATGCATCGTACATCGCCCACCGTGCTAATCGGAGGTGCGCGGAAGGACAACAATCTGAACACAAAAAGCAGTTTTAAAGGAATTTTTGTGACAGTGCCCAAGTGAAGGCACACAACTCCATTTGTTTTCCATTTCATTCACTCATTGCTCAAGGAGAACATTTTGCTTGGCTTTGGATGAAAGAATGATTGGAGTTCATCACAAACTTCGATCTTTCAGAGCAAAATAGCTCCAGCTGACACCAACATGTTTCTCCTTCTGTGTTGTTGACACTGTAACAGGGATATTTCACTGATAACTGTGTAACGTCGCGCACGTGTGTGTGTGTAGGGAGCGGTGGTGCAGTGGTTAGCATGCTGTGCTTAGAACTCGATGACCCGAGTTTGATTCCTTCTCACGGGCAATATCAGTGACAATTATCTGTCCTGGGCCTTCCCTAGGTCAACTCATCTGTAAATGAGTACCTGGTTACGGTGTGTAAACATGACCACTGGGGAGAGAAAGACGGCCGGGCGTGGTGCTTGCCACGCACCCCCTCGTGTACCATTGCCGGCCTTCATAGGTGATTTTACTCGCTAACAGCGATTGCCCCAAGAGTCTGTTGAGGCTATAAGGAGGCTCTCTGTCTTTGTTTTTTTGTGTAGACGTTTGTGGCTCACGCCCACATTGAGGAGGCCGAGCTGACCCCGTCGGTGGCGTTCGCATCTCTGTCGCTGTTCCACATCTTGGTGACGCCGCTCTTCCTCCTGTCCACCGTGGTGCGCTTCACGGTCAAGGCTCTCGTCAGGTAGGGCCCGGGTTCTCTGCAAGCCATCTGGCTACCATGAGAGATTTGTTCATGAGGCTATCCACATATACAAACACAGAGACAATTTCAACCGAGAAGATGGATTCTGGCTGAGCAATCATTGGAAGGATTTGATAAACCATTTCGGGTCTTAATTGATTGTTCACGCTTACAGTGGCTTTCAGACAGCATACATTAATTTTTCGTCTCCCCCCTCCTCTTTTCAGAACATAGATGGACTAGTCCTTCTAAATAAACTGTCAAATCGCTCTCCGTGGTGCTAACGTTAAGAAAAAAACGCCACTTTTTCCTAATTTTCTTGCTGTGGTTTTCACACCTGATGACGATTGCTTGTGTTGTAGTCGAAACGTCGTGAGAATTTATTGTTTTATATTTTTATTATTTTATTGTTTCCCCTTCTACGTGACTTTACCGAAAGAACCAAGAATATGAATCCCTGCGGTCACGAAAGCTTTAAATCAAAATTATCATTTAATTTACGGAGAAAAGATGCTGCCACGGTGTAACGTTTAGCACACCGGACTTGCAATCCAGATGTCGTGCCAGGGCAGTTGAAACAATCAGGACCTTGATAACGTCCCTCGTCATCGCTCGAAGTCATGCCAAGCCCTTTTGGACCCATGCGATTAACTTTCAACAATGCAAGTTCAACCTCGATGAAGTTTGGAGAGCTAAATGGAGTTCAAAATAACTCACAAACAAACACCTTATTCTGAAAGAACCAACGCAGAAGATCCCTGGGAATGATCTTTTACGAACCTCATGGTCGATCCTAAACCGCATCTGCACAAACTACGGCAGATGCGAAAAATTAAAAACTCTCCAGTGTGCGAATGTGGTCATCCAGAACAGACTATACAACATATAACGACACCATGCCCGATCCACAAATACGAAGGAGACATTACAGCGATACACTCCGCTACTCGTGACGCAGTTATCTGGGTTTACCACCTGAATGTTAAATTGTTGTTGTTTCTCTGCATCAACGTCAACCATATGGCAGCAAGAAGTTGAAACACTGGGGCACATTTCTTAAATCCCCTGGCCTCTATTCACCGTGCAGTATAAATGGGTTCATCACAGTCAATTGGCGGGTTGCGTGTGGTCGGGTAAAGTTTGCGAACTACCATCTGGATGGATATCCATTGTAATTTATATCCATACATTAACCCCACCCCCCCCCCCTTGCCGATTGGCTCACAAGTGACAACATCACATTTATCTGCATCCCTCTAAAACTGAAACAGGAGGATTTCTCCACAATTCCGGCTGTTGTCTGATAAGGCTGGTTGTAATTACCGGCGAAACATCATGGCACTCGAATTGTAAATGTTGTTGGTTTGCTCACCAACACACCGGTGTGTTGTACTGGTAACGAATTGGAACGTCTTGTTTACGTGACAAACCTTTCTAATAGGCTGTGTCGGATGGTGGCGGGTTTAACGACATATTTATATTTAACCCAAATCCTATATTATGGGTACCACCTCTTTGAAGATATCTGGCTGCCGTGAAAGAGTGGGCCAAAATTCCGTCTAAAGGAAGCTCTCTAGAGCTCCCTCGAGTGAGGGCTCTTTTGCCAGCAGTGGCGAGAAGAAGATATTGCAGAGCTGCTCTTCAACTTGCCAGGAAAGCCTCATTCAGCAGGGTCCTTAATTGGGATGTTTTAGAGCAGGGTCCGTAATTGGGATGTTTTAGAGCAGGGTCCGTAATTGGGATGTTTTAGAGCAGGGTCCGTAATTGGGATGTTTTATTGATTCCTTTAAAAGCAGTATTTTTTCACGTGAAGAGAAACCTGAGTACTCAGAGAAAACCATGCATACCAGTGGATAACTCTCAAAGCGCTGTACAGATGGGTTTATGAGCCCACTTGCTGTACTGTTACATCATGCCCACCTCACAAACCTAGTGGGTTGTAGAGTTTAGCATTTGTTGAGGTGATCCACAACCCCTTGGGTCCAAATTGCTCAATTCCAGGCATGCTCAACTTTACAACCTTGCTCTTCGGTCAGTTTTTTACTTTTTCTTAATTGACATGGTAATTTTATGCTGTGTGAGCCCTGAGATTCATTCAGGTCACGAATTAGCCTCAGTGACTGGTAATGCAATGAGCAATAGCTACTCCTCTCTCAGTCTCTCGGATGCTCCTGACCACTGCAGGCTCATCTGGCTTGAGTGATGCTTTGCTTACACAGGCTTTGACTCTTTAGATTCCTCTGGCTTCAGGAATTGTACTAGACCAGGTTTTTTTTTCTTTGCTGGAGATTGTAGCCACTTTAGACATCTCTTTACTGGGTGGTGAGACAAAGGCCCTAATGTGTATCTCTATCACACAGGTGTCATCAGCCAATGGGACAGTAGACTTTCTAGAAGTGCCTGTGCGTTTGTCCTGTAATGCAGAACATTAAGAGACTGCATTGGCATGGTGGATTTGATAGGATGAAACTAACTGAAATTTTTAGTATGAACATACATATTGGTTTAAGGCAAGAGTGATAGATATTGGTGTCAGGGTCAGAGGGATGGATTTTAACAAAGCATATAGAAAATAAGTTTCTGGCTGTTGAGTGTAGACGCATGCAGAGAATGATATACATGTCATGAAAGGATATGGTTAGGAAGTATGAAGTTTGGAAAACAATTTGGCAAAAAGTGGCATTGATGCAATCTTATATTCTTGGTTCTTTCGGTTAAAGTCACCAAGAATATGAATCCCTGCAGTCACGAAACGCTTTAAATCAAGATGTAATCTTCGTCTTTCGTACGGTTGATGTAGATGTAGAGCAACAACTACAATTTCACATTCAGGTGGTCAAGCCAGATAACTGTGTCAGGAGCAGCGGCATTTGATCGCCGTGATATTTCCTTCGTATTTGTGGATTGGGAATTGCGTCGTTATATGTTGTATGGTCTGTTCTGGATAACCACAGTCGCACACTTCTGGAGAGTTTTGAATTTTCCATTTGTACATCCGGTATCCGCATCTGCCATGGTTTGTGCAGTGGATGCGATTTAGGGTGGGCTATGAGCTAGATGTACTGAAGAAGAGGAGGATAAGGAAGAGGAGACATTTAAATTTAGTGACACGTTCATTGTGCCTGGCATTGTAAGTCAATCACCGCTCATGTCTGAGATGAATAACGCCTCAATCATGCTCGTTCTGCACCTGACTAAGAACAGCTCCTTGGGCCCCTTTCATGCATTTTCAAATTCTCACTGTGCATATTGCATCAATTCTTCATCTGAACCTTTATGGTACATTCAAGCGGGTTGATGAATTTTTATTATAACAAGAAGAGTAATGCATCTCCAAAAGCAAATTATGACAGTACTGTGGGCCATAAAGTTACATGAAAAGATTTTTGCCAAGCATCGTAATGCTCTAGCACACACGATGAGAACGCAGCTGCTCTACCTAGTGTCTCATAGCGAATGCAGGTCCAGTAAGTGCAGCCGTATTAACCCCCACAGCTCTGTGAAGCCTGCATTTGGTGTTTGAACTGGAATTGAGAACACGCAGGCAAAGTACGGTTATGCATGAAACGACTACGGACGTTCAGAAGATTCTGCTTTTGAAGTGTCGCGTTAAAAATAGCACAATTGCTTGGCATGCCCCGTGGCCTGAAGTGAAATTTTATCTTGCAATGCTGTGAAGCTGGATTGGGAATGGTGTGACGCAGCCACTCGGCAGATAGCAGAGGCCCGAGGAGTTGTGCCGTCGGGTGTCCATCGTGTGACAACTCCACCACGATCGCCACACCTCTTTGTCCCATCACCTTTGTCACGTGGTCCGGTTTCGCACAATCGTAGTCCTGTCTCTCTGAGTGAGATGATGTGTATCGAGTGTCTAACCCGGAGAATTTACGTGAGGGATTTGAGATTTTGGAGTATGTATTAAAATAAACATGAAAGTTATACGAATTAAATATATATACAGTAGCATACGGTAGGTAGTTTTAGAGGATTTACATGATGACCAATATTATCATATTAAACTCTACTTCCACATGGCGAGTATGTTAAATGTAACCATGTAATAGGTTTTTATATATATGTCATGAATCCAACTGAGTCGCAGACGTTGTCTTAGGAGCAATACGTTTATTAACTATTTGCACAACATACTCCAGGGCTATAAACACAACATACCCTCAGGTGGTGACCACCAAACTAACCACGCTACGGCAGAACTAGACGCGGTTCCACTATCCCGGTCCAGACCACAAGCTGGGTCCCGGACCGCGTGGCTGGAGGCTTCTTCAAGCTTGACGTAGATCTCCTGCCTCTCCAACAGTAAGAACCCCGAGCCCCTCACAGGGCCGGGCTGGAGCTGGCTCCACCTCTCGCCCCGCCCACCTACTCGATTTCTCTCGCCCCTTGCCCGAAGGCTCTCGAGAGTTCTTCCCGGACCATGTGACCACCCATTGGTCCCCTCCACTGATGGCCCCCCTCCAGTATCATCCGGTCACATGTCCCCAGGTCAGCCAGAGTATCATGCCCCAACCTAACCCCAGCTGGCTGACACTCGCTATCTCAACAGGAGCCCGCACCACACACTGTGAAGGTGCCACCGCGCTTAACCAGCGCTCACCCAAGCCCCCACTAGGGCTGGTACTACACCCCGTGTCCGGGGTGTACCCACAACAGTGTCCATCCTGCCGTGCCCTCGCAGGCCCCGCACCACACAGTGACATTTCCAGTCACTACATTTCTATAACATGTAGGTTTCCGTAGCAAATACAGTACAGTGATCTATATTTGTTTTGCGGAAAGCCACTTAGCTTCGAAGCAGTTTGAAGCTCAAAGCAATTTGTGAAACACGTCGTATGTTAATATTAAATTTAGTCAGGAAAGTATCAAGTCAGTGGTGTGTGCAGCTTGATTGGTCAGAATTTCATCAATACATTGTGAGATATAAAATATTTGCAAGCGTAACAATCTCATCGGGTGATGGAGGCTTCATGGTAATTTTTGCA